ATATAATTATGATACAAAATGCTTTATAAATTATATAATATATTTCATTTACATATTTGAAACATAAACGTTTATTTAATCTGTACATTTTCGCCAAATCAGGTTTTTCCTAATAATAGACTATTGTCATTTATTTGATCAATGATAAGTCGAATTTTTACAACTTTAGAAACGGCTTTTCCAACTTAACTACGAAGAATTTGATTTATTAGCTTTTAAAATTCACTGCCATTCTTTTCTGAGTTTATTGAAGATCCCTAAAAAATATCCGTCGTTCAATAGTTCAAAGCCTACTTCGATGCAGGGCCTGTAAAAAATTTGTAATTGTTTTCAGCGCCGGTTTAGGAGAATGTTTAAGCGACTTGCCGTCACAACAAGAGTACGTTTATCCTGAAGTGCCAGCTGGTAAGTTTATACATCTATTTCTTATTTTAACCAATTTGCAAGTATTAGTAAACCACACCTTAACTATCCTTCAAAATGTATCCAACACTGTCTTTAATATCTGTAAACAGATTAAAATATATCTTCTTGTCTATGGTTGTCAGGAGTGACGTTCGACGCTGCGACGCAATGCCACCTGCAGTTCGGCGCGGAGGCGGTGGTCTGCGCCAAGCCTACGGAGCTGTGTGAACATCTTTGGTGTCTCGTCAATAACACTTGCAAGACAATGCTGCGCCCCGCCGCCCCGGGCACCACCTGCGGAGATAACATGGTACTGCTCGACGCTCTCGAAGATATTAATTGCTATTAGAATTGTACTATCGAAAAAATTACCCTTATGTGTTGGTGTACTTTTATGAGACTATTTCTTTGATAGTTTAGGTCTTGATGGAAACGTAATTATGAACGACAATGTTTCTAACAACAGCTAATGAAACACTTTTATTTATTTATTCCTCAAAAAAACTCTATTTGCTTTATTAATTCTGCCTTTCATACGGGCACAAAAATTTGACCTTTGCCTTTTCTACTGATATAAAAAAAATAAACAATTATCTATGATTTGTACAGTGGTGCCAGAACCAGACATGCGTGGCGCGCAGTCCGTCGCCAGCGCCGCGCGACGGCGGGTGGGGCGAGTGGGGAGAGTGGAGTGAGTGCTCGCGTTCGTGCGGCGCTGGCGTCAGCACGCAAGCGCGCGAGTGCAACCGACCCGAGCCGCTCAACAACGGCAAATACTGCATCGGTGACAGGAGCCGGTAACTAATACGTTCCAACACCAACAAAGTATCACCAAAATACATCTACCTAACCTATACCTTGGTCTCCTCTTTCTACTAAATCCAAGCCTGATACTAACTAATGAAATAAAAAAGACGATATGCGCACAAGCATAACAATTCATTTATTCGTCATCCAATTCTCGACAGCAACTTATGTAAGATGTTTAGAAGATAAAAAGTTTAAATGTGTGAATAATAATAGGTTCTAAGTTTAACTGTATTCATCACTCCTTGTATGTTAATTGATTAAGAACTATAATTAACTGAGACTAGACTTAAGGTGTGTTGTAATTGCAGCTACAAAGTATGCAACACGGATCCGTGCCCTATCAACGAGCCGACATTCAGAGAGGTGCAGTGCGCCAAGTACAACAACATTACATACAACAACGAGACCATCTCCGACTGGGTGCCGTATTTCGATCAAGGTTCGTAACTTTATGTTAAAATATAAAGTTTCACAGGAATTATAATCAGATAAATCTTTTATAATTTTCAATAACTAGATAGCCTGCAATAAATCGTAATACAGTAAACCAATCACCTAATTGTTAATTCCAAATTCGAATTATTGACATTCTTAATCAAATCAGGTCTATACTATTGACATTAATAGTGAAATCATCATCAGTAGTAAAGACTATAATAGTCAAATCATTATCTGTACTATTGTCATCAATAGTAAAATCATCATCCGTACCATTGACATCGACGGTCAAATTAAATTTCGCCCTATTGATACTCCACATATTAGTACTAATAACGCTGTTCAACAAAATATATTATGTGTTTAGACAAGCCATGCGAGCTGCAATGCATCCCGCGCAGCCGCAGCGACGTGGAGATGCTGGGCGGCTTCGTGGCAGACGGCACGCCCTGCAAGCAGAATCTCGGCGCCAGGGACATGTGCATTTCTGGTAATTTAACACTATTTCTTTTTAGAACCAGTACTTATACGATATTCTGTTTATAACCATAGTTCAGTGTGGCTTGGTTGACTTTACAAATGTCTTTGAATTACTTCACATATATGTGCAGGTTGCATTCCACGATGCTACATAATATTTTAGTTGTAACTAAAACAATCGCTTAGAAGATTTCAAGAATTGTAATAGTAATTCTAAGTTTGTGTGTGTACGTGTGTAGGCGTGTGCTACAAGGTGGGCTGCGACTGGATCGTGGGTTCAGAGCTGGAGGAGGACGCGTGCGGCGTGTGCGGGGGCTCCGGCGCCGCCTGCAAGACCGTGCTCGGCATTTACACCAAGGACACCGCCAGGCAGCCTGGCTTCTCTGAGGTACACACACTAATCTAAACTTCAGTCCCGGATATAGGAAAACCACGATAAATTACAATACAGTTCAAGATTGATTCTATAGTTAGTAATTCAAACAAATTGAGAAAACATTTTGTTCCAGGTTGCAGTGATTCCAGCGGGTTCCAGAAATGTAAAGATTGAGGAGAAGGTGAGCACCGGCAACTACATCTCCATCAGGAGCGCCAAGTCTCGCAGGATGTACCTCGTCGGCGCCAGGTCAGTGACAATAGCCTATAACTGAAAGTTGTCCAATATCGTGTTACTACGTCCCTTCGCAACAGTCTGGTCAATTCATAAGAACCTGATTCTATGTTTTTTCCTGTCAATTTTTAAATATTTCATCCTCACAAGAGTTTTTTTATCTTTGTATATAGAAATGCAACAATATCTGAGTACTTCGTGGCGGGGGCGCCGGCGATCTACGAGCGAGATCGGGATTGGGAAAAAGTGCGCATCAGCGGACCTCTCGCTGAAGATATCAAAGTATTCGTAAGTAATTCAAACTAAGATATTGAAATATTAGTTAGAAAATTTCTCTTGTAATAGCCAAACAAAATGTAAAAAAAAAAACATTTCTGTAGTCAACCGATGCACGTGGAGATTTTGTCAGATTAGCAGAATTCGTGATAATAATATAGTAATTGAGTTTTGTAATAAAAAAAATTCACTAAGCTAGTGGCACAATTAATTATTTCTTGCATTGCTTTAATATATTATAATAATAAATTTAGCCCCACTTATTTATATATAATAGCCGTTGGTTTCCGAGACCAAAATTTATAAAACATCGTCATCATGTGATACCTGTCATTATCTTTGACAATACAGAGATAAGGACTGTTTTGAACGGGGATTTTGGTCTCAAAAACTCATGATAAATAAAACAACAGTTATTTATCAAGATTATTTTTGATGAGTGGCGCTAGATGTCGCTGTAATGCATTTATCGTTGCATGTGATGTGCAGCAACGTATCTCTGGCGGCAAGCACCGCAACCCCGGCGTCACCTACCAGTACACGGTGTCGCGCCCGCAGCGCCGACACTCCTACCGCCTCTCCGACTGGTCGCCCTGCTCCGTCTCCTGCGGGGACGGCTACATGCGCCGCCACATACAGTGCGTCGACGAACACAACCGTATGTACTGCAGTAACACAAGCCCACGTTGTCTTACTTCATCATATCCTCGACCTTATCCACTCTAGCAGAGGTCCTAAGTTAGTTTACATATTTCCAAAATTGATACTTAGTTTAGAGTAATTGGCAACAATGGATAGCATAGCGTTAAAGATATCCATAACCCAGTTATCAACATATGTCTATTTCGAGGATTTTCATAAATTCTTTTACATTTAGTTAGTTATTGTGTGAAAATACTCATTTACTATGCACGTTTGTATTGCAGGCGTGGTGGAGCAGTCGCAGTGCTACCAGGCTGAGCCGCCGCGGCACGAGGCGCTGATGCAGCGCTGCCGGGCGGCGGCCTGCCCTCGTGCACACTGGTGGGTCGGCGCATGGAACCTCTGCTCCGCCGCCTGCCACATGCCGGTACGAGTAATATGAAGCTTCGTTATTTATATTAGTAAAAGGCGAACTATTTCAACCGATGACAAAGGACCAGTCTTTTGCTTTTGTGTAGTCACAAATATAAGTTACAGTCTCGTCAGATTTTCAGTGGAAAGTAAAGAAAGATAAACACGTTTATGAAAGATTTGGCACGTTAATGAACATTTCCGTTCCTTTTAATGTTAAACAAAATAAGTTTTGTTACTTCTTTGCAGGGCGAGGATGCAACAAAACAACGGAGTGTTTACTGCGTGGACAAGACAACGAATAACGTGATACCAGATTCCCTGTGCGACGCGGCCATTAAACCCATTAGCATTATCAAGTGCGCTGATGTGCCGGCCTGCTAGATGAAACAATTTTGCAAATTATACGGAATGGAAAAACATAAGAGATGAATTAACGTGGCGTAAAAAATAAACGAACGAATTGTTGTAAATCCAATTGATGGAATCACAACTGAAAGTTGTGTTACAAAAAGTACACAGGTCAATCGTTTTATTGACCACAAAGATGGAAAGAACGAGAATGATAAAGAGTCAAGTGAACGAAACGTAAATTGAATGAACTATAAAGTGCGAAGTCTCGGGAGATGTGAGAGTGACAATTTAACGTGTGAGTGATATTAAGTTTGCCGAGGTGTCGTGTGAGATACGTAATGAATACGTAGCCCATCGAGTAGTATGTATGCACTGACGCGGCCTCGAACAACATCACCGTGTAGTGGCGAGCGGGTCTCGACTGCACTCGAGATGACGCTCCGCGATTACCACTTACTGCCATATTATATAAGTGAACTCTAGTTTTAACATAGTCTTCGCTTAGTCTTAACTAATATTAATATTTTAAAAATTCTTATAACATCAGTATTAATGTGGTGTATGTATTCCTTCGAAGTATAATAAAGTAACGGGACGTGAAAGTCGTTAGTAGAATACTGTAAAAAAAAATTTGGACCAAAAATATATTTTAATTCAAATTCACGTTGCCATAAACACGATTACTGCCAATATGACACTCGTATTATAAGTACATTGTAAGCTTATACATAGGTAATACTAATAAATGCTGCAGAATTCATGTTTATACGGATGGATTGCTGTGGATCACAATGGATATGGATAGCGTTGACGCGCTGCTGTTCGTTGTGCCTAGTCACGTGACGCGGACGTAGACCGTCGCGCGCGCAGACCGAACTTGCATGTATTCAAAATGTGTCGTCGTAAACATTTTATGTAACATTTAACCCACTACTTGATTTTGATAAGACTAATTTATATGTATAAAAACCAGTGAAAACGCGTCAAGATTGGAGCGGAAGATATTTATTTATGTTTGTGCCCTCATTATTTTTAACCGACGAAGCATAATCGTAACGCTAGTAGTATTCTCTATTTATCCAGTAATATCTAACTGTAGCTTAGTAATGTAAAGTTGATTCCTGATGTTTCAGTTCTAAGATTCGTCAGAGAATATTTTCTATCGATCTATTGATACACAATTTTAATTTGAGGAACATTAAAACTAACCATTAGTTACGAATGTTATATTTTATTAATTTTACATTTACAAATGCAATACACGTATCGCTGTCACATATTAATTACAATTGTGTATTTAATTAAGGATCGGAATAAAATCTTACGATGTTTTATATTATTTTTCATTTATCCTCTTTCCCGCTGCATCAAAGATTTATTTATGCAACAAACTGAACATCTGCATCTACAGTTTAGTTTTCGCTACGTATTCTTAAAGTAAGATCGCATTGCCTATCGTTTTTTAGTAAGGCACGGGCGACGTCACGGATATCCATACCCAGTGTCGGGTCCATATGGATTTCGGCGGTTTAAATTGGGTGTTTCGGCCATTGGTTTTAAGCAATGGAAACTTATGCTTACAAGTGCATATAACACAGATTATAAATAAAATACCATATACGTATATCAAAATATACTTTTTTATTTCTCGCATGCGAGTAATACTAAATCGGTCACAATATTTATTACGGCCGTGGAATAATAAAAATCACTTCACTGAGGAATTTTTTATTTTTTAAAATAGATATTAAAGTAAAGATATAGATCTATGAGATTTTTATTTTTATCATTAAAAAAACAAGCCCTCGATTTTAAACCCAATGATGGTAGACTTTATTCACTATGATTTTTTCACTAATTTAATTAGGCTTTAGGCGTCAAAGGGGTTATTTTAGACCATATTTTACAAAAAAGGCAGTATAGTAAGACAGAACAGTACTGCTACTGTTTGGACACACAGCCATACAGAAAAGTACTATTTTGCACTGCCCTACTGCTTACCGCACTGTTCTGCCTTCTTGTGAAACTAGCATTATGATCAGTAAAAAATAAATAAATGCTATCTCAGCCTACAATTGTTGGGTTAAAATGTCAACTTATCCATCTGTACATATATTTATTTTATATTTTTACATTAATCAGCTGTTGTTTGTTGTCATTCCGGACCGCAACCAGCCTCTTTTGTAACAAGAGCCTCGGATGAGACATCGAAACGGATGCTTTTCTTTTTATTTGGATATTTCTGAAAAAAATTGACGAAACTGCTACACTCAGATTCTAAGTGGTCACATTCATTGGAGATTTATTATGAGAAATCTACACTACTCAAAGTCACAAGATCTTCCTTAGTGACCTTATACCGACTCTTATTGTGCATCCGGCATCCATAATTTCTCAAGAATCCATAGCTAAATATTTAAATATCATCATCATCATCAGCTCACTATATGTCCCCACCGAGGTGCTCGGAGCCTACCCTAAGTTAGTGGTGTATATTTAAACATATCATAAAGATAAACCTTACCTTATCTCTAGATTTAGTGTCTGTGTTCCTGGAACGTTCCTTTTCAAGATCAGAATGTAGTGATGCCAGCTCAGCAGTCAGTTCAGAGTTTACCGAGTGCAGTCTCTCCACATCTATTAGTAATTCTGCTTTGTCTTTCACTAAAAAATAAAATAAACCATTTGAATAATATTTACATATAACTTAATAGATAAAAAGCTATGCATAAGTTGCTTTTTTTTTAGCAATTTCATTATTTACTGCATTCAAGCAGACCCCAGTGCGGAATAAAAAAACCATAAGAAGCCTGTGTTCTTCCAGGCTATGTTTTAACATCTATGCCAACATAACATTTTAGCTAGATCCATGATACCATTCTGGAGATACCTTCAAACTTCCATCCATCTAAACATTCGCATTTATAATATTATTAAGATTTTAATTTGTTTCAATAAAAATATGCGGATTACTGATCACAATCTGTCAAAAATTGCTAGAAAGATACGGATTTTAACAAAAATACGCAAACTTTTATTAGAAACAACATTACACATTCCTAATTTATTTTATAAAAGATGTAATTTTTTTTTAATTATTTCCTAGCATTAATAGAATATAAAAAACAATCTTACTTTCTCCTTGACCAAGAATATTGCATAGCTTTTTATTTCTTGTTTTCACTGTATGTAATTCCTTTTTCAAAGTCACAAGTTCCTCACGTAATGCTGCTATTTCTTGATTCTTCTTATCCAAAGCATCAGCAAACTGTACTCTTGTTAAAACTTCATCAGATGCATTGTTTTGGTTTTTAATTCTATCAATTATTTTTTCTCTAAGCAATTCATTTTTTGTGTCATCTTTTATTCTTTCGAAAAACTCTGTGTCTTTATTAATACATTTTTCTTCTTCTGCTACTTCATCATTTTGAATGACTGCAAAAAATAATTCACCATCATCAGTTCACAGTACCTACTGAGGGGCTTGGAGCCAACCCTAAGTTAGGGGTGAAAAAATACGTAAAATATATTCTAGAATATTAAAAAAAATGTAGCTTTAGTAAGTTACAATGGTTTTCAATTTGGTGTAAAATAAGTTGATGAACTTTTGTAATTTAAAACACTAAAAAAAAGTCTTATCACAAAGTGTATGGACTGAAAATCATTGAATCATTGCTGTGCTTTCAAAGCCATTCAGGCCCATTTAGTATTCATTCAAGTTTAGGTTTTTGCTTAAATAAAGATTCTATATGAATATTTAAAATATAGCACTCACTTTTAACATCTTCTGCAGGATTGACCATTCCATTAAATTGATCCAAGCTCATAACATTTTTCTTCTTCATTTTTTTATTATTCACACGGATTGATTCAGTTTTCTTCTCCATTTGTGCATCCTTCTTCAGTTGTTTGTACACATCTTTCTTTTCTTCATAATCAAGTTTGGATAAAAGAATTGCCTGAAAATTTCATTGTTGTTATATGTCACATTACTGACAGATGTTGTTATTTATCTTATTTTTTATTGCATTTGTACATATCAAAAAAGTTTTATTCATGAAATAAATACAACAATATAGTGCAGCACATCTTACTAAGATTAAAAATGTGAATATTGGATGGATGGATGTTTGAAGTTATCACCAAACGGACTGCATGGATCTTGCTGAAATTTTGGCATATATGTTAAACATAGTCTAAAAGAACACATAGGACACTAACATAATTTTTTTTTTAAATTCCACACCAGCAGCATAGCGGGCGACAGCTAGTTTTAGTAATAAAGTTAGTCTTACTTGTTGTAATTCAGTTTCAAAATTGCCATCAACAAGTTCCACATCCTTTTCCTTCCATTGTTCCCACTGCTCTGGTGTTGCGCCGTTTGCCTTCTGCTTTTTTTTCTTATTTGCATTCTATTAAAACAATTTCTTCTGTTTAAAAAAATTAATAAAAATTACACACTACTGTCTGTTATAAATGTTTGTGGAAAACATATACAGGTTTTTAATTGATTAAATATTGATTTAAAATATATATGTACTTATTTTTTTTACTGAATATGTAAAAATGCTGTTGCAAAAGGCAATTATGTGTGAATTTCCTGTCACTTCTGCATTTTATATATAAAAAATCTAAGATAAAAGAAACTGTTTATCACGATTCTTTGTGTTTTGTAGATATTTCGAACTTGGTTTTTTGTTTTTTTACAGCTTTAATTAAACTACAAGTACCTGAGACTTGTTGCCATTAGCTTTTGGTTTTTTAGGTACTTCGCACTTTTTATTATTTTCTACTTTGGTTTTCTTAGGCTTTTGGACGCTACTCGACGTGGGAAAATCGTCATCTTCAATGTTAAGACCAGCGAAACGCGATTGTACGATTAAGGCAGCCATTTTCACTTGAAAGCTAAAACAAAAATGCTAATAAGATTTTTTACCTAACAAAATTTAGGTTTTATATTACAATTTATTGAATATTTAAGTGTCAACTACATTAATAGTTTTCCTAGTAGTGAAAATCGACTACTGTACATTTTGTGTACCATAATACATGTCATTATAAAAATATAAATATGTTAAGTATACTTACTTTAGATTTGAAATTTTACGTACAGCAAAACAACTATACGAATGGTAGCTGAATGTGAACAACACAAAACAATGTTTTTTAATAAAATCAAAATTTTTAAATCGTACCACCAAAGACAACAATATCACTCACCAAGGTTCCAAGCAAAGAGTATATAAAATAAGAGACGGGACTCTTGTCTAATTAGATACACAAACGGAGAATAAAAATCAGGCATACGAAACTCTATTAGTCTATGGTACAAATTGAACGCAAACGGAGATCCTCCATCTTGAAAATTGTGTCTATCCCACTCATAAGTTTCTCTATAATTTTTGGTCTGTTTAAAAAAAAACCATAGTGCATATGAATAAATTGTGATTTAAAAATTTATAATTTCTTTATATTTAAAGTTTAGATAATAAATAAACAACAATTTAATTAAGTTATTTGAAGTATGTAATTTAA